ACCACTTGCCCACTTGCCTGCACCACTTGACCACTTGCCAACCTTCTAGAAGGACTGCAGCTAGCCTTCTAATCTACAGGTCTACGGATCGAATCCTGGCTACCTATAGACCTACGACAGACCTACCTACCACTGGCGGTTCTACAGGTCACAGGTTCAACTCTTCGAGTTGACGCAGGTATTGTACACAGGTAAGTTGGGGAACTAGGGATCGAGCCCTGGGATCTGCCTCAGCTACCACGAATTGGTGAATACCGTTTCATTTCTCCCACTTCCAGATTCTGCTAGAGGGAGTGATTCTAGCTTTGTCCTCATTTTTTCTTCTTTTGTTTTTTCCTCCAGCTACTGGAGGATTGACTGTCTTTTTTGCTGTGCCCTGTTTCTTGTCCTGGTCCTTTTTCTGATCCTTTTTCTGATCCTTTTTCTGGCGCTGTTCCTGGTCCTGTGGCTGTTTCTGGGTCCCATTCCTGTTTGCTAATCACTGTACTGTCTTGCCGCGGTCGTTTGCCGGTGCATCTTAACAGTGCTTTGGCATCATCACCAAGCCACTGATAGAGTGGATCATTCCTTACCACTCGAGCGAGAGGCCGTTTGGTGAGATCTCCGAGCCCAACTCGCCAAAGACCCCAATGCTCATCTGGGAAGGAACTCCCCGTACTCCTTTGCTGAGGGATGGGGATAACAGAGGGCCTGTGAGGGTCACGGCAAGGAAGGTGTTTTTCGAGCGATTCAACCGCAACATTACTGGAGCACAGAGGTCATTTGACCTGATTCTGAATGGTCCTCCACGCACAGTTCATGCTTTATGGCGTGCCTTTGACGACAACTACATGCGACCCATCTTCGGGGGTCGAGGCTTTACCCCTTTCACCCCAGGCATGGATATAGATGAGAGGGGCTTGGCTCCAGAAGCGCAGCCTGCGGAGCATACCTAGACGGGAACTGGCTTCGGATACTGACAGGCATAGCATCAGATGAGCATCCAAGTCGCCCCTCATAGAGCATGTCTAGGCTGGCACTGAGTTCGGGTACGAAGTCACCCCCCATAGACCGATGGACTGGTCTTTGTCGCTGAGTGGCTTTTGTCGCTGACTCGACAGACTGGCTTTTGTCGCGAACTCGACAGACACTGGCTTTTCTCGCGGACTCTTGAGATCTTGGCGATTCCAGCTACTGCAGTTCTGTCCGCAGAAGCTTTCGGTCTGGCAGACGAAATTGGATGGGCCAAGGTCGGACACATTGTTGGTAGACCGGAAGCTCTAACTTCATGAATCCATGGAGTACACTCGGGTGTTTTTTGTTGCTGACTCGGCAGACCAGCTTTTGTTGCTGACTCTTGCTATCTTGGCGATTCCAGGCAGAGGGAGGAGCGGTGTCAAACAAAAGCTGACAGCTGGTGGGTTTAGCACAGATTTGGATGAGCTGAAGAGTGATGAAGCGTACGAAAGGCAGAGGGAGGAGCGGTGTCAAACAAAAGCTGACAGCTGGTGGGTTTAGCACAGATGTTTGTGAGCAATACTACGTAGCTCCCCGGGCATGTTGATAAGGGTTGGGGGGGGTGATAGGGGTTTTGGGGGGGGGAGGGGGGTTGATAGGGGTAGGTGTGGCATTTGCAGCCCCAGCCTGCCTGGAGGAAGAGGAAACCTAGCCCTGCAGAACCTTACAATAGCTGCAGAAGGGATGCGCACCTGACGCCGAACGATCAACACCGAAAATCCTGACCAGATGCAGACTGGAAGTTACAGCAGCAGCCGGATAGAGGTTTCAGACTGCTTGTCAGAAAGCAACAAGTGAAAGGGACATAAACTTCGTAAAGCCTGAACGACATGACCAAATGCGAGGAATCTGGAGTGGCTCGACAGACCTGGAAGAGGTGGAAGATTGTTAGGGGTTGGGG